ACGAGTAATATCCAAAAATAAACACGTCATAGTATATGACACCTGATATGTATGTCAATTAGGAGATAAAGGATCCCATATCTATAATTATTACAATGTTCATGTTGTCGATCGATTACTTAATTTATTCGTGGTATTCAGAAAGGAATGGTAATCATGGATACATCAGGCGCCTCGTCTTGTTGTTAAGGGTCAGCACAGCCACACACGCACGTACTATAACGTCATTACAATAACATTGGTGAGGGTCACACGACAGGAATATTTGCAAAGTTTATAAATAACGCTGCTATCAGCATAAAGTTCAGTTCAATTAGGAAACGTCTATGGGGCATTTTTGAACTGTCTGGATTGCCACTTTCCAATACTTCTCTGATCATATTTATTGATACTGTATTTCTGTTTCCTGTCTAGAAAACCTAGATTAAAGGCCGTGGGGATCAGTTGCGCAGACCACGCGACACCCTCTATCCGCAGAAGTTGGAACTAACTTCGCCGACAAGCGGCGGTCGTTCGGTCGGTATAGTTCGCTCGTGGACCAAAGGCCACGGAGGATTTCTGTTTCCGGATCTAGGATTACGTAGAATTTTATTTTATTTTTTAAATAACGATATATTAGCCGCAACAGAGACTGGATAAGTGAAGAGTTTGATGCATCAGAAAAGGCGACGGACTCAGAAAGTGATAAATGACTTCTATTGCGGACGCTGTTTTTAATTTCTGCAATTTAAGAATAGAAGAGATTACTTATTGATCTTTCCCAATCATTCAATACTTCCAGGCGCATAAATTATTGCATTGTCCAGTTTCAATGGTTGAACGTCTTTCTGAAATGTCTTTAAGCTTGGGGCTTCACCTTCGATTCAGCATTTGGCTGGCTGCAGGACAAGAATTTTTTTGAATATAGTAATTTCAGTATCGAATATTCTATTTTCTTTTCTAATTTAACGTCCTACGTTTATTAACAATGGGAGCCGGAATAGCGTAGTGGGTATGGCGACTGGCTACAGGCTGGCCGACCGAGGGGTCGGAATTCAAGTCCCGGTAGGGCTCTGGGGCCTCCTATTCAATGGGTACCGGTGTATCTTTCCCCGGGGGAAAGCGGCTGGGGCGTGAAGGTGACCACTCACCTCCAACTAGTGCCGAGACGCAAGAAAATGTGGCTCTATATATCCACTCTCCTATACGCCTTCATGGCGTAGCGCTTAATTAGTTAAGCATAGGGACAGCTTTATCTTTTTTACATTTATTAAGAATAATGTTTTTCTACAGTAATGTGAATTAAATTGAACAGCGGAATAAGAGCAGAAAATCCCTGAACTGAAAGTTTACCGAAAGTTTCTTAATTCCCGTGATTGGACAGATTCATAATAATTTAGAAAATATATTGAGAGTACATAACGTTAACTTACAAATACCCAGTCAAAAGTTCTTAATGTATGAAGCTCCAATTACCCTTCCTCTCGCATTGAAGTTGCGCAGTAAAACTGTGTAAACATTTCCCACCTCTCTCAGGCGTGCTACATATTCCGTCCATCTCATCGTCCTTGAATTGATCACCCTAATAACATCCGGCCGGTCAGGGTAGCCGAGTGGTCTAAGGCATGTACTGTCTTCGCTCGCTTGGAAACCGGGATCGTCGGTTCGAATCCCACTCAGGGCATGGATGTTTGTGTGCATTTTTCTGTGTTTGTGTACAGGCAGAGGCCTTGCGACGAGCTGATCACCCGCCCAAGGAGTCCTACCGAATGTCTAAGATCTAGAAAAACCGAAGTGAACAGAGAAGTTCATGGAGGTAGGCTTAGGCCCACTGGGGCTGTAGTGCCAATGGGGGGGGGGGGAATCCGGAGAAGAATACAGATCATGAAACACATTATAATGCAGTTTTCTCCAGCTTTTCATTAATTATTCATTTCTAGGTCCAAATATTCTCCTCAACACCATTTTCCTTAACACTCTCGGTCCTAATTGTTTCTTTAGGACGAGAGGCCTAATTTCACAACAGTACAAAACAATAGGCAAAATTATAGTTTACATCATTTAATGTTCCGGTTTTCGATAGGAGAAGGAAAGGCAGAATTTTCTTAATTAAATTGTAAAGAGCAGTTCTCGCATTTAATCATGAATGCAATTTTGATTTGTTACCGTCTTCCTAAAATATTTAATCTTTGCCACATTTGGAGGAGTTTAAGCGTTCAGAAATCTATCATAAGAAGCACTCGGCGCTGTAAGGCTCACGGAGGAAATTTCGAGCACTTACTGCGAAATTCTGCTCCGAGGGTGGAAGAGAAGCAATGAAATTATAACGCCTAATCGGAAATTTCTGGAAGGCTGTGACTTGGAAAAGAGGCTCTGTAAAACCAATCTGAATGTTACATTTTAATTGTTTTTGTGTATAGAACTCATTCTTATATTGTGCAAGACCTTTTAAATTACTGTGTAGGCTATAAATTCTCATAAAATACACTGTAAAATAAATTACATACTATATTTGACTGTACGATTATATAAGAAACTGCATCACGGGATTTCTGTAAACAGTTTCATCTATTTCGGTTTATGTACGTAATAAGAAAAGATAAAAATTATTTAGGTCATATGAACATCATCATATTGAAGTCACGCGGTATGAATAAAGTCATTATATCGTACTTGTGGACTTCATAGCAGCTAGGTCCAATTACAAACATAAAATTATTTGAATTGCAGGAAACAAATTTAAATAATTAAAATCAAAATAGATGAAATCTAGGCCGCGTCGCTGGCTTCCCACCGCGGCGGCCCGGGTTCGATCCCGGGTCTGGTCAAGTGGGATGTGTGGTGGCCAAAGTGGCGCTGGGGCAGGTTTTCTCCGAGTACTTCGGTTTCCCTGCCAATCTTCATTCCACCAATTGCTCCACAATCACCCTCACCTATCATCAGGGACTGGTACAATAGGCCAGAAATTGCCGCAGTACAAGGGACTTAGTCCCACTCCACTAGTAAAAAGAAAAATAAATAAAATCTAAGTCTACTCCTTGAAGAAGAAACAGACGTTTAAATAGCCTCTTCTCTGTTGCCCTAACGGGGAAACACATAAAGACTCTTCAATATCTGTCGAAGATAAAATACAACCGCTTATGTTGACATAACAGATGATTAATCCGTACCACTCAAGATTGGTTTCTTAGGCCTTGAAAATAATTTTCAGATATATCTACAGTCATCTGTCAAATACTGTACAACCCGAAACGTGTTTCGCCCGTCATTCAAAATCCATATCAATGGCCTCACTAGTGATGAATCGTGGTAAATGGAAATTTACAGCACTTCTTTCAACAAAGCAAGATATTTACCCTAAGAGACAACTAGGCAGCACACTTATCATTGACTTTGTTCTAGTAGAAGACACATGCAAGTAAATGGATGTTAGTCATGTGATTATATCGATGGAAGTATTTGTATTATTTGTTAAGATAAATAAAATTTGATGGAACTATAAAGAGAATCTACGTACGAAATACTTGAGAGCCGAGATAGCTCAGTCGGTATAGCGACTGGCTTCAGGCTGGACGACCGAGAGTTCGGAGTTCGAGTCCCGGTAAGGTCAAGACTTTTCACTTCTCCACGTCGTCCAGACCGGCTCTGAGGTCCACTCAGCCTCCTATCCAATGGGTACCGAGGACCCTTTCTCCGGGGTTAAAGCGACAGGGGCGCGAAGCTGACCACTCACCTCCAGCTATTGTCGAGGTCAAGAAAACGTGGGTCTATTCATCCACTCCCCTATACGCTTTCATGTCATAGTGCTTAATTAGTTAAGCGCAGGGATAACTTCACCTTGACATCTATGTACGAAATACTTATATGTTAAATGTAGTACAGTATGTACAATAGTCTGGGACTCAATAATGCTGTATTCCACTGTTTATTTAGTTTCGTAATAGTAAATTCGATTTTGAAAGGAAAATGTGAAACACTATGGATCTGAGTTCAACTGTAGTAGCCACTAGTTTCTGCTGATAATGTTACATTTAGGCTAAAATATACAAAACATGAACTGCAATTTAAATTCTTGTTAGAGGTGAGAATAAAAACATTGTTTGTAAATAAATGCAGAAAATTAATTATATAATTTAATTTGTCTTTACTTAAGGCTAACACACTCAAAATATAACAAGCCCTGCTCTTCAGCAGTAGGTTGAGGGGCTATTCTACAAGCCGGAAGGTCGCGGGTTCAAGTCCGGATAAGATCATTGGATTTTTTCAATTGACCTACTCATTTCAGTCGCACTATGGCCCTGGGGTCGACTCGGCGTCTAACAGAAATGAGTACCAGGAATTAATTAAATAATTCTCATGGGGAGTAAAGCGTGGCTGCCGCGCAAAGGCCCGTCCACATTATTCGAGCTCGTGCTCGTCGGGAGACTCGTCTGGCTTTTACTTGTGCTCGTAAATCTTCGTCCACACTACTTCAGTTGCTCGCCAGGCTTCGGCGTGTGAGGATCCGTATATTTACTCGTAGTGTGTATAGGCTGTAGTCGTATTTTAATTTATTGGCTATAGTTTTTAAATTTAAAATTTTAAATGGACGAAGTTGTAGTCTGCGGGTTTCCTAGTGATACGCCTGTCAGGGCAGGATCAAGAACCACGACGCAAGAAACTACCTCAAAAACGCAGATGGTGGATGACCAGAATTTGCAAAAGTCGGAAAGTCTACAGTGGAAGTGATCTCTTGGAGAACTTGGGAGTGGAAAATTTACATTTCAAGACATTTTGCCGTATGTCCCCGTCCGATTTTGAAAGCTCTAATAAATTTGGTGGGACCGAAGATAGCAAAGGCTGACAGCACATTTCGAAAAGCTATTCCAGTTGCAGAGCGGTTGGCACCTAGCAACTGTCGATTGCTACTCCGGTCTCCAAGCAAGTGATATCAAACATTCTTCCTGAAGTACGTGCAGCACCTCTTGACAATTTGAAGGAGTTTGTAAAGGTAAGTTAATGTGTAATAATGCACGTTTGTTTATTCTTTATTCATATTGTGGTCGAAGCCATAAAAATAATTACAAAATATTCAGCGATATCAACGACAGAAATTACAATAGGATTTCAAAACATACAAAGCAGAAAAAGTTAACAGTCAAATGAGAGAAACAAATGAAAATTTGAACGAAAGAATTCATTCGAAATGAAAGAAATCGAGCAACTGTGACCTGGCATGTCTCATACCGTCTGGAGCAGAAACAGATGTCTGTTGAGAATTTAACTGCATGTTGAGTGCTGATAGCGATTGGTTGTGGAGGAGATGGCATGAACGACGAGTAACTATAGTTGCTATTGCTTCAGCTTCACCTTGAATAGTCGCACGAGGTTCCAGATGATTGTGTTATTGCAGAAGGGGATGTATAAATGCCGCTTTCTGCTTTGAAAATTATGTCTGAGAACTTTTTTTTTAACAAAAGCACGTGTTGGTTTATCCATTGATCGCAGAACATTCTCTATGTACTCTCCATAGGCGTCGAATTCGTCTCTTTTTTTTAGCAATAGCGGTTTGTACAGCAGTGTACGCCTCTCCTATTCGGGGATATTCAGTGTTAGCACTTTTTCGTGGATTTTTTCTTGGTGAAACAAATATCTTGTTTTCGTTTCGTGTAGGTGGTGCTTTGCTGACTTGTGTTTGTGCATGATCTGTTTCTTGGTTACTAACAAGATCACTTTCATCACTACACATGCTCGCAGCCTCTTTAAGTTGGGAATCAGACGCTTCTCCTCCATCCTGAAATAAAATGAGGAAAATAGATTGATGTAAACAATAACAAATCAAGGAAAATAAAATAGGAAAGAATAGAGGTAGGACTAGGAAAATGAAAATACAAAATTGATAACAAAGCAAGAATATAAGTAAACTAGAATACAGTAGAATGTTAATTATTTTTGTTTATTGTTATAATTAGTTTTTATTGTTTGCAGATGCTGCAGACACCGGATGAGTGGTTGCTGGTAGCTGAAGAGAAAATGGAACTTTCCTCATTGCATCGATGCAATGGGTGGTAAACATTGCGCAGTACAATGCCCAGCTAACTCTAGAAGCGACATTTTCAATTACAAGTCATTTTTCAGTATTGTTCTTTTTGGTCTAGTGGATGTTGACTACTGTTTTATGTACGCTGATGTGGGCTGCCAAGGTCGAATTTCAGACGGTGTTGTTTTTCGAAATACAACCTTTTTTTTTTTAAATATGGAGAACGGTATAGTCGTTTTCCCGGACGCTTGTACTCTCCCAGGAAGACAGAAAGAAGTACCTTACGTCATTGTCGCAGACGGCGCGTTTCCGCTCAACAATCATATCACGAAGCCGTATTCCGGACAGCAGCCCAGGGGATCAAGTAAGCGTATTTTCAACTACAGACTTTCAAGGGCACGTCGGATCGTGGAAAATGCGTTCTGAATACTTTCTTTCGTGTTCCGAGCACTAAGAAAGCCTATATTACTGCAGCCTGAGAAAGTCCAAAGTGTTATTATGGCTTGCATATACCTGCATAATTTCTTGCGAAAAACTGTGATTCCAGACAAATTTATACTCCTGGAGGAGCACTCGATCATGAAGAGAATGGACACGTAACTCGTGAAACATGGAGAAATGAGATCACGACTGCTACAACGTTCACGCCATTACGTCCATTCCGCGACGGTCAACTCAGACTGCTACCGACATTAGAGATGAATTTGCTGCTTATTTCATGTCCAAAGATGGGAGAGTGCCATGGCAAGTTGATTATTAATAATTGTTCGAGAATTTGTTCTTATTATTCAGTTACCAGATACCTAGGCACTAATAACTACCTACTTACATAGGTAAATTTCAAGTACGAACTTATGTGAGGTTTTACCTTTATTTTATAATATTTTTGTAACTCTAATTAAAATGTTCCAGGCGTGAACACACCTACGTTTCGTGAATGGGTTAACATTTTTTCTGCTTTGATTTCCAAAATAAATCTTGTGTAAATTATAAGTTTTGGCTATGAAACTAGTTTTACTTACTTCTGTGTTGATTGTCCGCCGAGGTTGATATCTGTTGCGAAGAAATGCGAAGGCTTTGTATGCAAACCAGTCTGGGGCGTCCACTTCGTCAGCTCCAGATCCTGATTTACCGGCAGCAGGAAGCTTCTGGCGCACTTTCCGGTATGTAGCTAACAAACTGTTCATTTTCTTTTTCAATTCAGCCACGACTACATTAAGTTCCGTTGCGATTGAATCCCACGCTTCAGTTCTTTTTGGTTTCACTTTATATAAACAGTGGGCAGCATCCCACAACACTGGGTGTTTTTCATAAACTTTTATGAAGTTAATCGTGGAATCGTTCGTCCACTCCATGTTCCGCACGGGTGCAGAAAATCGACTGATCAAGGCTCGTCGTCGTCCACATGACTCGGACGGCTTGTCGCGGTCCCCTTTGATGTACCGACAACAAGCGGAGCCTCACGAACCAGTGGCTCGTGCGGCGCGTATTGCTTGTCTCGTGACTTGTCATATCGTCCACATTACTTGCGAGCATAGCGAGTCACACGAGCACGAGTAATGTGGACGGGCCTTAAGGCTGACAACCTTACCGCCATCGTTGAGCCGATTGTCTAGATAATGTGGGACCCTCAACGTCTCACAACCCTATGGGCCTTCACGGCCTGGTACAGGGATAGCTTTACTTTTTACTTCAAATCGTAGTCAAGTCCAATCACTTGGAAAATAGAATGAAACAAGATGAAATCAAATGAGATTATATACTCGTTCAGACAATGTCATTGTATCCCTTTCTTTTCGAAAAATACATATTAAAATATATAAATGTTGTCATTCTTCTTCTTTGGCTACACGGTCTTTTTAAGTTTAACCTTTGTCTCCCTATAAAAATACTAATTCATAATTTAGGGGCCTGCTGCTGACAGGACTGCTACAATGGTTACATGAAAAAGAGTGGGATGGGTCAGATTGGCAAGAAATTTATACAGAACTTTGAGAAACTGCGAGAATCTAGGCACATGCAAGAGGACAATTAATGTCACATACGTCTTCTAGGTCTTATATGTCTGAAGATGTGAGTTAGTGACTTATGGGTTCTAAAACAAGAGGGAAGATACGGGGTACTGCAAGCGAACATTTGTGACAAGATCACAGAAAATATGTGTAGCTTTCTTTTTACTGGACGCATAAAGGCTCCAAAATTGATGCACAAAATCATGAACTACGATAAATGGCAGGAAAATCTTATTATTAACGCAAGCACGTAAATGTTTGATTACTGGGTTTGGTTAGTAGCGCTGACTGCTACAGCAGCACTTGTCGCCATCTGGAAGCGAACTACTCAACTCCTATCGGCTACTTTCCAAACTAGATGGCATACATTGTGTTTCTCTGCCGTGAACTGCCAATGTTGCACTTGATCTGCGGTTACAGTAACAAGTACACTAGAGATAGACTGTGGCTCGCGAGCCGCATGCTGTTCTTTTGAACCTTTGGTGCAGCTCGCAGGGAAAAAAAACATATAAATCAATTTCTTTTTATTAGTGGGTGAAATATAAAGAAATATGCTATGTGAAAAGCGTGTACTTAAATAATTACGTCATCTAGTCTACTTCTGTTTGCCCTTCCCGAATGTCTGAAAATGATTCAAGGCGGCTGCAATGTTCAGTAAATGTAATAGTATCTAGCACAAAATAGTATTTGTATATTCGATTAGAATCATTTCCTTGTCTACTTACTTATCCTCATACTCACTTCAAAGGATTCTGACGATGGTGTATACTGTACTTCTTTTGGCTTATTTTGGACTTCACCCATCGTCTGGTGTGTAAAAGACAAAAGACCACGACGTTTCGAATACTGGATCTGTCTCCGTCTTCAGGTGGGTGGGGAAGGATAAACCTACTCAGTTGGGCCCGTTAGAAAGATCTAATCTCAATCACTGGACCAGTGATTGAGATTAGCTCTCCGAAACGTCGTGGTCTTTTGTCTTTTACATACCAGACGCTGGATGAAGTCCAAAACAAGCCAAAAGAAGTATCCTCGTATTGTTTATGAACGTTCAAGAGCAACCAGGTCATGTAATATGAAGGGATGAAAAGGTGTGGTTAACTACGGAATACTGTAAATGAAGCAGCCTGGCCTGTTTCAAGGTACTATAATGTTAATACTTGCCCAAAGTAACTGGGTAAAACGACGAAAACCAATCAGAATAGCTGGTGCCCTCGAATGGAAGGACGAATTAACATAAAGGTGAATTGTTTAGTCTTGAAGAAATAAATTATATAAATTAATGGTACCGTATTTAAGTAGGCTGGTCTGGAGTTTCTGCGGATTTCACAGAGAATACCGGATATTCGATATCCATGGATACTCGATCCATTTAGTGACTTAAGACAAACAATGGGAGAAAACGAGAACATACCGCTGTGTCCAGTAAACCTCTCAGTGGTACGAAGAATGCAACGATATTTCTGGTGTCGAATGTATCTCAGCGCTGTGTGTCAGAAGTGCCCTTCCATATTTCTAAATGTACACAAAATCTGTGTTTCTAAGCATCATTTACTATTGGCAATGAGATCATGCCACTAAAATGTCCATGGTTTATGCTAACCGTCTTACAGTGTATACACTTTTTCACCTTATTCTTCACTTCCATGTTCAGCACTAATGTGCCATCCTCAGGTGTCTTTATGCACGTTAAACTATTGTTCTGCATGCCATGATGTCTTCATTCTAAAAAACTGAAATCTGTATTCGTCATATATGTCGATGAATTCTAAATAATAAAACTTTTCAGGATTCATCCTACGTCGCACTCAAACACGCGAATTACGCCAATCCTCTTTTATGTGAGCATTCTTCCTATATACATTTGTGTATCGTGTTCTGTGTCGTGTTTTGCTCCTGTTACTGCATGCAGAATGCTCACATAAAAGAGGACTGGCGTAATTCGCGTGTTTGAGTGCGACGTTGGATGAATCCTGAAAAGTTTTATTATTTAGAATTCATCGACCTATATGACGAATATAGATTTTAGTCATTTTAGAATGAAGACATCATGGCATGCAGTACAATAGTTTAACGTGCATACAGACACCTGAGGATGGCACATTAGTGCTGAAACATGTAGTGTGGAAGTGAAGAATAAGGTGAAAAAGTGTATACACTGTAAGACGGTTAGCATAAACCATGGACATGAATCAGTGTAACAGGACGCTAAAATATAACATGCCACTTAAACACAAACTTGGTTCCAGTGGAAGTTCGGCAAAACAAATTCCTCTCACAAAATATATTATTCTTAGGAAATGAAGTAGCTTCAGTCCTTGTGTGAGCATGCGCGGGTGTGTTTGTGTTCTCTTTGTAACGTATGACTTTGAACTTAAGTTCCATGACGATTATCATCAAGTAAGTAATGTAATTCTCTTTTGAGAAGTATGCCATTTCCTCAACTTTTCTGAGGAAGTTTACAAAATTCTGTGAAATTATTTTTGCACACCGTAAGGAATAACTAGGTTTCTACAGTCGTTATGAAACAGGGTTCTGCTCCAGCTGAAGGTTTATAAGTTGTCTTTTAGGAACATGTAGCAGTCTGTGGTTGTCGGTAAAAATTCAGGGATTATAATTTATTTGATACACAGAATGAAGGAATCTTCAATATTGCAACTTACGGTAGGGGTATAGACGTTTTAATGGACGTATTTTGGGGCACTCTATCACCCCTACGCAACAGGTTCTTTGGTTTATACATAAAAACTGGCGATTGTGTGAATAATTTATTGGAATAATATTAAGTGTAGGTTCTCAATGCAAAGACTGTGCTTTTTCAATTTCGTGTACCATGGATGGGACTTTTCACTGCCTGGATCAAGATTCAACCCTGCATGACTTCAAATGAGTTTCGTAATGGGTGAAGTGTCATGGAGCAGAATTTTCTGTAAGATTCTTCGGTTTTCCCCTTCTATCATCAGTTCGCCATTGCTCCATGCACACCTATGACCCCTACTGAACAGGCAGAACATTATCACATTCTCAGTCTGTAAGGTGGGGATTCATGTCTGACCTGGCATTCGGCTGGTTACAGACAGAAACATAAGTTCGTGATTTATGAAGTTAAAAGAATTACAGTCAGATTGTATGAATTATATCAGTTCAGAATGTTTTATATTTCCCCACTCACGTCTAGAATCGTACAAATTCATATATATATATATCCATAATTTTAATCCCATTGTAGAAGTGAAATTTGGTCTTTCGCCTCAGAACATTCCGTGTATAGATTGCTGGCGTCTGAAAACGAGGTTCTCAAGAGAGTACCTTTATCGTACGGACAGCCAATAAACACCAGAATCAAAACAGCCAAACAATAAGGAGGTGCATAATTTCTCATTTTTATCAGATATTATTATGACGATTAATTGAAGTAGGATGAGATAAACGGGGTACAATTAAATATGCATTAACATAAGAGTAGACAATAAAATAATATTAAACATCTCAGTCGGTTGAATGCCTGGGCGAGATGAGATCTTGGGTTCTATTCTCGGCAGGGACAGAGATTTTCTCTCCTAAACAGCTTCCAGAGTGGCTCTGAGGACCAATCAGCCTTTTGTCCGGTAGGTACTGGGGCTTCTTCCTTGCTGGTAAAGGGGCCTGAGCGCAAATCTGACCATTACCTCCTACACGCGTAGTTATAATGTGTGCAGCTGTCTGTTCACCCACGCGACTTTTAAGCCACAGAGCTTAATTAAAAACAAAGATGATATGACTATATGTTCTACGTCCGAAGAAAATAGGGAGTGAATTAGATTCATATAACTCAGGATTGAGTCCAGTGGCTTGTTCTTATAAACGCTGCGATTAATCTTCTAGTTTCATAAAGGCGAAGATTTGGTTAAATATACAACTGACGGCCATCTTCTCAAGAAGGATTCTGCCCCATTGAGTTCATGGTAAAATTTGCCGGAAATCAGCTGAATATATCGCAGTACACTGCAGGTTTGCCAAAAAGAGAACTAAATGCCCGTTTTAAAAAATGCACCACTTTTACCAGTGTAATATTAAATATTGACCGATGGTTCATCTTCTGAGTGAGTGTCGTTTAATAACCAACTTCAGAAAAATTAAACTTCACACTTACAGCTGGGTCAGTCCGCACCATTTTCCGTGCATTGATGTGTGTTGAAATGCGCGGCTTGTTTGCTTTGTCTCTTACTTTCATATCTTCTGCCGTCATAATAATTTACAGCTGATCAGATTCAGCACAGATTCAACAAACGAAATTTATAGCCCCACACGTCATAATATAAACAGAAACTCTAAGATATGGCCACAC